GTCAACCCTGAGCCGGTGAGATTTGAACCGCTGACCTGCTGATCTAGCAGTAGCCTGCAGTGCTGCATTTAACCACTGCGCCACCTTGGCTCTTAGTAACATTCCAGGCGTATGGGGCGGGAGCGAAGGTGAGCTGCTACTGCTGCAAGAAGCTTGATAAAGGTCCTAGGAGTGGACAAGAGGCCAAAGGGCACAGCCCTGTACTGATAGTGCCTCCCGTCGTAGTGAAACCGCAGGAACCTTCTGTGCGATGCATGGATGGGCACATGCAGATAAGCCATTTTCAGATCAATGGACGTTAACAAGTCCCCTCGCCTTATGCAGTCCAGGATGGATTGGAGGGGCTGCATCTTGAAGCGCTTGTAGGCCAGATGCTGGTTCAGGCACTTTAAGTCTAAGTTGGCCTTCCATCCACCTGAGTTCTTGGGGACCAGGAAGAGAATGGAATAAAATCCCTTCCCCTCCTGGTTCATGGCATTTATTTGCAGAAGATGGCTGATTTCTGCTTGCATGAGGGACCTTTTGATGGGGTTTTTGGGCATGGGGCAATGAAGAAACATTCGTGGGGGGAATGTCAGAAATTCTAGGACCAGACCCCTCCAGATGGTGTTGAAGATCCACGTCTCCGTGGTGATCTCCTCCCATTGGTCTGCATAGAATTGCAGTCAGCCTCCGATGGGAGGGTCGCTCTGGCAGTCACTTGCCGCGTCTGAACTGGCAATTGTTGGAGCCACCACGAAAAGGCTTCCAAAAGGAGCCCTGTTGCTGATGTCTGCCCCAGGAGCCAAAGGAGTTCCTGTCTTGGTTCCTATCACTAGGTTGAGTATAGGCCCTCTGATATGAGAATGAGGTGGATTCCTGAACATTATCCTGGGCCCGAAAGGTTTGTTTCCTGAAGGATCCGGATCCCTTCTTTTCATTCTTTTTGTGAGTAGAGAAGGATCTTTCACTTATCTTTCGTCTCTATCAAAAACATTTTCCAAAGAATCTCTGAAGAGATGCCCCCCTTTGAACGGAGCTGAAGCCAGCTTCCATTTTGCCTTCATATTCACCTGCCAGTGGCGGAGCCGTAGCAGATGGTGTGAGGTTACGTTGGAGACTAAGGCTCAGGAAGCAAACTTCGCCGCAGTCAATGAGGCATCTGCAAGTATTCCACTGCTGTAATGATCTTGTTAAGATCGTGATGCCAACTAGACCCCTCCAAGGGAGGTTTAGATCTCAACTGGCGTAGCCAGAGTAAGGAAGTCCTAGTGAAGAAGGAGGCAGAAATTGACATCTTAATGGCCCAAGTGGCTGCCTGGTGCATCTTATGGCAGGCTTTTTCCGCCCTCTTGTACTCTGCCTTGAGGCCATCTATGAGTTCTGCAGGCAGGGCAGAATTGGAAGTCAAGGAGACCACTGGGGCATTAACCTCTGGCAACTTCAGGATGCCCTCCATTTTAGCTTCCAGGGAATATAAATTTTTGTCCCCGTCCCCCCAGGATTGGCCAATATTCCTGGCTGCACCCATTGGCGCTGCACAACATCTATGAACAAGTCAGGAACCGGAATAAGTTCTGGATCCGGAGCAGTCTCCTCAGGACCTTCTTTGGGGTCCTGGTAAGCGGACAACAGCTTTGTCCTTAGGTTTAGCTGGACCTAGCTCTTTAGAAGCCCTGGCCTTATGTAGCGTCGGTTTGAAGAGGCCCGTGAAGGCGGGTTTATCAGGAGGCATAGCCTCATCCTCTGATAATTCAAACTCGTCTGCAGCCTCCTCCTCCCAAGCCGACACCTCCGTTGTAACAGAGGTACCTGGTGAGTCAGGGTTGCGCTCCCTGTTCTCAACAAGGTGGTGACCGGCCCTAGGGCCCTTGCCACCTCTCGACACTTTTTGCTGCATTGCCTCAACAAAGTCTTTGTCTTCTGCAGGCTTGGACCTGGAAGAGGCAGGTGACATTTACGCCTAACAAGGGCTGAGGAGACCTCTTCAGGTAAGGTACACTGAAAAGGCTCCAACTCATCCCTCATGGAAGAACTGGGGGAATCCAGGTATCCCAAGGAGGCTGCAGGAGACCCAATTTTTGAGTCCCTATCATCTAGGGATGGAGACTGATCGCCCTGGAGTGAAGGGACTTCCCCCTCCTCAGATATGGGTGTCGATGAGCCTGGAGTCTTGTCACACTCATGAGCCAAGGCTTGGCCCTGAGGGCTGACAGAGCCCTGTTTTCTGGGGCCTTTACTACCTGATGAACAATGGGTGGATTTCTCCCCAGTACCCTTCTGCCCTTTCCCCCCTTGTTTTGGAGGATCTGGCCTACTGCACTTTGAAGAGGGACCTGCCAGCTTCTCCCGTGCCCCCAAACCTTCATCTCCCATGGTGAACTATAGATGGTTGGATTCTTGGCTTGCGAGGCAAAGCTGCAGTAGAGAAGGACACCTGACACTGGCCAGCTGGCTTTGCAGCTTCTGCAGATCTGCTTGATAGCTGGAGGCTGGCTAGACACCCAGGACACTCCAATGCTGCCTTCCTGCAACAGGAAAAGTCCTCTGGAAGGGGAGGAAAGCCCTGCCGGCACCCTGGACAGGGCCAAGGACTCCTCTGCGGCGATCTGCGCTGAGATGGTGAGGCACGATTCCCAGTAATCTGTTTCTGGCTGAATTGAAGCAAGGGGCAGTTTGACACTTTTAAAATGCTGCTGCGGCTTCGCACTGCTGAACAGAAGCCTCTGATGTTCTTCCTGCTTCAATTAGTATCCGTAGGTAAGCAGAAGGAAGACGGACGATTTTGCTCTTAAAATGGCCTCCGCGGCTTTGCGCTGCCAAAAGGAGCACTTCAATGTCCATCCCTGCCCTTATGAGCAGCTGTTAAAAAGCGCATGAAAAGCATCGCTTCCAAAATGGCTGCCGCGCTCTTCGGAGGCTCAGAAACACCGTCGCAACACCAGGACCCTCTGGATGCTCCTGACGCTGTCAATCGGCCGGGAACACACAGAAACCTTCCTGCCGTTCCTGCACCCGCCGGCAGCCGCAAGACAAGTGATCTCTGTTATTCCGACCGCTGCGTGTGACCAGCAGCAGGTTGAATTGCCAACCGTCACCTCAGCCACCTTTCCAAGTAAATTGGACTTCAAGTAAGGTTCTAACCCTATTCTAACTCAATAACCACACTAAGAAAAATAAAAAATACTAAATCTACTGTGAATTGCTTAAAGAGTTCCAGTCTATCTATCAAGGACTGAAGAGCTCCCCAAAACTAGTCCTGACGGGCAGACTGAGTTTTTAAACTGCCCTCAATGAGGCAAAGGAGGCGTGGTCAAAGAAAAATCTACTCAGTCCTAGGGCAGATAGACTATATTTAAACCATGCTTGGACTCTCCAAGCAGCACACAGGAGAATGAAAAGAAACTAGGAAGTTTTATTTATCTATTTTATCCTCTCTTCTTTTTTATAAATAACTCAAAGCAGTGAACATATCTAATACTCCTTTATCTTCCTATTTTCCCCTCAACAACCTTGTATGGTGGGTTGAGAGTGACTGACCAAAGTTATCTAGGCAGCCTGCTTGCCTAAGTGGTGCAGGACTCATAGTCTCCCAGGTTCTAGCATGGCGCAACACAGAATTAATGCAGCAAAAGTTTAAAGTATTTAACATATTACTTTTATATGCAAGAATGGAAATAATACAGTACTTGCCATGTTTTTTAAATCAGCAGTCTTTTTCCAGAAACAATTATAAATTACCTTACAATTATGTACTGACAAAATAATGTTTATGAACATACCTTTATCTTTCTTGAAATCTAAAGCATCTTCTTTATCTGTCACTATTTCTTTCATGTTGATTATACTTGGATGATTTAGTTGTCGAAGAATTTTTATTTCCCTAATAGCTGTAATAGGAAAACCTTCTTTTTCATTATCCAACCGTACTTTCTTTAATGCCACCATTTCCCCTAGGAAAATATCAGTTAAACTGTTATTAGCAAAAACTAAAATGCTGACATATCCAGAAAACAATTTCATATTATACATGTAAACAATAGACTATAGAAGTAGAAAAAACTATTTGTGACTATTAATTATAGTATTTTGAATTAAAAATCTATACAAGCTCTATATTTATCAAAATGTAAAGTTCACCAAAGCTTTTTATTTGATTCAGCAAACCAAGTATTCTGTCAATTAATTAATTAATTATACTAGCTGCAGTTCAGTAGTTCAAATCTCACCGGCTCAAGGTTGACTCAGCCTTCCATCCTTCCAAAGTAGGCAAAATGAGGACCCAGATTTTTGGGGCAATATACTGACTCTGTAAACCGCTTAGATAGGGCTGTAAAACCACTATGAAGTGGTATATGTCTAAATGCTTTTGCTGTAATCAAGACTGACTTAACTTTAAAAGACTGTACAGCCGAGTTAGTATAATAATTAAGTCAAATAACTAGGAATCAGAAGGCTTTGAGTTCTAATCTTACCTTAAACATGTCATCTTAGGCCAATCATTCTTTCTCAGCCTGAAGAAAGACAATGCCAAACCCCTTCCAAAATTTTGTCAAGTAAGCTGCCAAAACTATAGGTAGTCCTCAACTTACAACTACAATTGAACTCCAAATTTCCATTGCTAAGAATGGCAGTTATTAAGTGAGTTATGCCTCATGTACATTTTTGCCACAGTTGTTAAGCAAATCCCTGCAGTTATTAAGTGAATCACGCAGTCATTAAGGGAATCTGGCTTCCCCTCCAATATTTTGCTTGTTGGAAACCAGCTGAGAAGGTTACAAGTGATGATCACATGACCCCAGGACACAGCCACTGTCATACATATATTACCAAGCACCCAAATTTTGATCACATGACATGGGGATGCTGCAATAGTTGTACGAAAAATCACTTTTTTCAGTGCCTTTTTCAGCATATGTATATGCTGGTCTTGTTGTATTCGGGTCTTTTCCCGTGTAAGATTGAAATTTTCTTGGCAACATTTCGGCGAGGTCCTATTTGCCATCCTCAGGCTGGTGTTTTCAGCTTTGTGCTTGTGTGAGTAAGGCGTGGTCAGAGCTGTCGTCTTTCCATTAATCTTGGTGGGGGGGTGTGAAGTGCTGGCTTTGTTGCTGTAAGTGGGTTGTTTGGCTGTGTAGTTGCATCCTGATTGGTAGATGGAGTTGATATTTGTAGATTGGTCAGCTGTTTCATATCATCCTATATGGCGGAGGTGCTGGCTGTGTGTCCGTTGTTCTTTTGTGTTGTAATGACCTAGGTGGTGGGTGGGGTTCGTTTGTTGACTAGGGCTGGTTTCCAGATGTCTGTTAGGGGGGAGATATTGTCACGTTTATTCATGTTATGAGGGTGTTTCTCTATTTCGATGGCTTCCATAATTATTCTCTTGTTGAAGTGTCCACATAATGGACAAAGATACAAAAAAATAGAAGGAACACCCATGGGATCACCCTTCTCACCCGTCATTCCAAACTTATACATGGAACATTTTGAAACTAACCCCTTAGATAAATCTGAACACAAACCCAAACTCTGGCTTAGATATATTGATGACACTTTGGCCACACGGGAAAGAAAAACTGGACAACTTCCTCACACATCTCAACAGCCTACACCCCAAAATACAATTCACTATGG